AGCCTCAGGTACAGCAATGCATATTTTTTGTTGCCTCGCAGCCGATTCCCACGTGCAAAAGGACGACCATGTGATGTGTTACTCGGAACAGCTTAAGAATCTTAAAAACTCTCTTAAAAAGCTGGGAAATGAACTGCTGTCAGTAAATTACTCTTCTCCACTTGAATGCACAGCAATCTTGCAATACAAATCCACAGAAATAAGCTCGTATTTCACACCAGACATGAAAAGTAGACCAAGGCAGCTGTAGATAAAACCGCAACTGGCATACAAGCCTAAACAGAATAAAACCTGAGTTGCACACTGACTGTTGTATTCTTGTACTTTGCAGATATCTGAACCAAATGAGTTTGACATCATGCTTGTAATACCTGTTGCAAGACTTCAGCTGGATGAATGTGATGATACCGGAGCCTATTACTATCTAAAATTCAAAAGAAATCCAAAAGAAAAGAGTTTGTTGAACTTTTTAGATGAAGATGGAAAATTATCAGCCTTTAAAATGCTTCAAGCACTAAGACACATTATTAAACAAGAAGTAAAAAACATTAAAAGTAAGTACTGAGAGAACAAGCTTCTCCTAAGAGTGCTGAAAATCTAATTACAGTGTGCATATGCGTTGCCTTGCTGTTAATAAAATATGATCCCCCCCCCACCCCCCATCAACTGTCTCATTGTGGCAACGTAGCTGTAACTGTACCCCTCCTGTCCCTGTCTCTCAAGTTTGCTCTTGTGCTGAGAATCACCACAAACACATCAGAGCTAATCATACTATGTGATTAACCCATTGCCCTGCTATGCAATCCTCTTTCCACGTGAAAATGATGTACATTAAGGGTTCCGTCGCATGCTTGATACTTCCTACATGACCTCTATATTTTGACTCTATCTGCCGTACACAAAGAGCCATTTGCTGAACTGGTAGCAAAAGGAAGAGCTTTCTTTTATACATTACCTAATACTTTGTATCAATCTATATAGAAAACATATCCCCTTTTAGGGTGCTCTTTTTCTCCAAAGCCTTCAGAAACATTGTGGCCTGTTTCAAATGTATCTCTTCAGTCTCAGTGTTTTCAACAGCGAAGTAGTTCATTGGAAAACATTACTGTATTTCTGATTCTGTAGACACAGTAAATCAAGCAAACCCAGCAGTTCAGAAAGTGCTCCTTATTTCACAGAACTCCTCAACAGGCCTTCTTAATGTTTTATGTAAAATGCATATCCTGTAGGATAAAGAGCTAGTGACTGAACCCAGGTATTTCTTTTGATTGATTATAAATTCCTCTTAAGTAAAAACCTTAACATTCTTTAAAAAAAGAGTTTCTGATATATAAATATGCATATATAAAACCCCCAATTTCTTCTTTGTTACTAGATGTGGAAGTAACTGTGAAAAGGAGAAAGGCTGGAAGCCCTGCAATAACTCTTCAGATCAAAAATCCTCCAGCAGAAATATCAGTGGACATCATCTTGACTTTGAAAGCTGATCAGAGCTGGCCACCCAGCACCCAGGATGGCCTCAAAATTGAACAGTGGCTGGGAAGAAAAGTCAGGGGAGAGTTCAGATATACACCACTTTATTTAGTAGCCAAACAAAACAAAAAAGAAGAGGTTCAAAGAGGTACCTCAAATACAGACAATAAGTCTAAGTTATGAAATACCTTCTCTACAACTTGATCACTTGCAAGTGCTATAAAAAGGGTATCCAGGTTCTGTTCAGTATTCTGCCTTCAAGGTACAGATCTTTGTCTTATCCTAGATATAAGCCAGATCAAAGAGAATTGAAACCCCTCTATAAAACATCAGATTTGTGACCCTGCTTGTCCTGTACTGAAATCTAAAGACAAAACTGCTGTTCCAGGCTGCATACTAACCATTCCTAAGAGCATTACATTAAATCTACTAAATTGGACACATGAACACAGACCTTCCCTGTGCTAGTGCTGTACTTAACAGTAACATCCACTCCTTTGCTTGGTAAGAAAAAAAAAGTAAAAAACCCCAAAAGTAAATTAAAAGGAGACTTCTAAAAAGGCAGGCAACATCCCTGTAAGCGGGACTGTATACACAAGTTATATACTTCTGCAGGAAGTAAACTGTGTACTTTGCTAGCAAGATACATTATTTCCTCATTGAATTCTGGTATAGCTACGTGGATTTTTTTCCCCTCCAGGGCACTGTCACACCAAGCCTGCATTAGTTTGCAGAAACATCCCAACTTGACATTGCATTATGAGAACTGATGATTTCAGCAAAAAGAGTTCCAGCAATCTGATTTTTTTTTTTTTTTAAATTAGCCCATCTTAACAATGCCAAATAAAAAAGTTACTGCTCTACTGGGCTATCTCTTCCTGTGAAAATTAAATGCAAAGAGTAACTGAACCAAACAAGCAAAGGAAACAGTCTAACTCATGTAAGGAAGACAAAAATCATTGCTGGTATTTTAAAAACAGGGGGTTGAGCTATATTAAGCATTGTTTTCAGAAACATTACCAGAACAAAAATAAATGCTTTAGAACAGTCACCTTACCCAAGGCAAACTCACAAGCATATTACTTGCACAAAAGAAACTGAAACCCCGTGAAGATTTTTTTTAAATTCAAAACCAGAATGTTTATGCAGTAAGGCTAATAACACAGAACAGAAATTCAAAGGTAGCAGATTTCCATGAATAGTGTAATTCCCCAAATCATGTTCAACAAATGCAGGAAAGTTCAGAATTAAGCTTAATTTTAAAGTAAATCCAAACACCCTTAAGAATATAGTTAAAACATCCAAACAATTAACTATGACCTATATTAATAACATTCTAGTTGTCTTTGTGTGGAGCAGCTGGAGAATTAAGGAGGAATTAACTAATTGTAGTCACTGAATTACGTGGTGCTTTTGGGTTTTTTTTAAAGTGCAAAGGAATTGCTGATATGCAAAATTAAGTCAATTATAAAGTGCCTTTTTCTTTCCTAGTTACAGACACCAGTACTTACTGCTGCATAACAACTTAATCTTGTACTCAACTTTAGGAAACACCTGGCGACTCTCTTTCTCGCATGTTGAGAAGGCCATGCTGAACAACCACGGCCAGTCAAAGAAGTGTTGTGAATCTGATGGACCAAAGTGCTGTAGGTTGGTATCTCATATGGATATTTTACTTTAAGCCCGTGTGAGCCACGCTAGCACTGTCTAGCACTGTTTGCATTTAACATTCAAGAATTCAATCTAAGACTAATTACTCATAATAGGGAGCAAGAATAAGGCTTTTAGGCATCACTGTTCTACAGCAGTACAACATTGCATGTACTTGCTGAATGTCTGGACTTGCATTTACTCAGCGAGAGGTGGAAACAAATCACATTGCAGGTTTACACTCCAGACTTGCCTTAGAAAGCAAAAAGATGCAACTTGTTAAATAATCTTTCCTAAACTCAGTCCTGTTTAGAAGAACCAGCTTAAAAGTCTGATGACTCAGCTTCCTGAGCTTTGGCAACAAAATTACACCTCATACCAAGGCAATTTCTAAAATGATGGTGAGAAAAGAACTGCTGAATGGGATCAGGATGAATAAATGTGATTTTTCACTCCAATAAAAACTGGTTTCCACATTTCTTTGACAAACAAAAGCCCACATGAGGTACAGAACCTCCTTAATGGCAAACCAACTCTTAGTTTACTTAATTACATCTTACACGGCATCAAGAAAGTCATAAGAGACTTAATGCATCATTCTTTGTCTTTGCTGTATGAACATTATCAGACATGCTGTGCCCCTAGCTAGCAGTGTACTAAACTATATATACCTTTTCCCTGTGTGCTGTGCCACAGGAAGGTAGTGGCATTTCCTTCGGTGCCAAAAGGGCGGCTTTAATCTTAAGCAGTGCTCCATGTTCACGTTACACACTGATAGCATCTGCAGCTGGGAGACTGTACTGTATAAGCACGCTGCTGACCAACACTTTGCATTTCTGTATTGCTGTGGCTACCAGTAAAAGTGGTGCATACACAAAAACTACTGTTTAAAGTAGAAATCCTTCATTGCTAGGATCTGACTTGAAAAGCAGTAGTTCAAGGATTATCCAGCCTATTGCTGCACTTATTTTCAGATTTTATTCAAAATATTACTGAAACTGTTGCTCTGTTAGAGTAAGAACATTTTTATTGCTTTCATGAATGTGTATTTAAATGTCTAAAATACATATTTAGAACTATGTAGAAAGCATCTAATAAATTTTTATTTGTTTAACAGGAAAGGTTGTCTTAAGCTTCTGAAGTATCTTCTAGAGCAACTTAAAATTAAACATAAAAAACAGTTGGAAAAATTCTGTTCATATCATGTCAAAACTGCTTTTTTCCACTCGTGTGTCATGTGGCCACGTGACACAGACTGGCATTGGGGAGACCTGGATCATTGCTTTCAGAAATATCTGGGCTATTTTCTGGATTGCCTGCAAAAGTCTCAGCTACCGCACTTTTTTATTCCCCGATACAACTTGCTCAGCCTGGAAGATAAAGCAAGCAGTGATTTTCTTTCAAGACAAATAAACAATCAGTTGAACAACAGATTCCCAATATTTCAGGAGAGTCATTAAAACATTGTTTACAATAACTATCAGTCATGTAGCTTTGCGTATTTAAAACCCAAAGTTCTGCACCTAAGTTTCTCCTCAGTAATCTGATACTACATAAAAACTAAAAACAAAATCAAGAATGCTAAGAGAAAATTACATATTCCAGGTACGCTGGTTACCCATAACCCTTCAAAGAAATAGGTCACTTCAAGTAATATTCATCTTCCCTATCCAAATGAAGATGTCACCTGCAAAGTATCTTCAAAGTATACTAAGAATGTATAGAAGAAGAATTTGCAATAGTTAATTTCCCACATGTAATTTCTACGATTGCAAATATAAAGGCATCAATGACTGTGTAAAAGTGAAAAATGACAATTGTATTTAAAATTAAAATCTGCTGCAGAATACCCAGAATACACTCTTGCTTTCAAAAGAAAAAGTCACTGGAGTTACTTTGACATAAACCACATCAACTGGGTGAAGACCTTTTGCAGAGGACAATCACAAGCAACAGTGAGCAGAGAGATTATGCTGTTGAAACAATATGAAGTTCCTGAAGTAACTTACCTTTTCTGAGTCTTCAGAATTGCTTTGGAAATTGGTCTTTTCAATGGACTTTGGCCAGGAAACAATCATTATCTAATGGGCTGCAACACAGTAAAAGTTATTGTGCCAATGAGCATTTGTGTGACAAGTCTTGAAGAAAGAATGTATCTTCAACCCGTATCAAGGAGGAAGAGACTCCATATGAAGAGGTTATCAAAAGCAAAATGCAGCACGAATGTGATTCTTGGAATCAGAATTCAGCTCAGTTTTTCTTGTGTTGAAGCATGTATGCATTACGAGAAAATAATTATAATATTTCCTATTACTAAAAATGTGCAGGTGATAAATACATTGTGAACTGCTGTGCTGTAAATAAGTACATCTTTTGCTTTTTCTTAAAGAAGCCATGGGAAGTCCATATTTTTAGCCTACTTTTTGAAGGCAAAATAACCTACTGGCTTAAATACTGCCCAGATTTCATCCCAATTAGAAGCAAAAGAAGAGGGAAGGACAGGAGAACATTTAGAGAATAACTTTACTAAAATATTCTCATCTCACTAGATTCAGTTTACTAATTTTTCATTTACACATGACACATGAATAAACACAAGTTCAGACCAAGTGTGAAATGAAGGAACAGCTCCCTCCCATATAACTACCAAAGAGTGAAAACATATCCCATTACCATTAGCAGTCTGAGTGACAGAACCTGACATCCAAATGTAAAATTTGAATCAACTTCATCCGAAGTAAACAAAAGTTGACCTTCAAATACATTTTTTTCTTCATGACTTTGTTAACATTGCTCTAGTAAACTCTGGTTTTCTTCCTTAAGGTAGAAAATTGCATCCATGAGAACAAAAGTAGAAGCTGTTTGGTTTTTTTTCCAGTTAGCCACAAACACATAGTTCTTGTTATACTCTCCTCCATTAGGAGGAAATGCAGACATCTCAAAAAAAGCTCAAGACACAAGTCTTAACAAAAACAACTAAACAAAAATAAATACTTGCTTCAGCAAACATGAGTTACTGCAAACAGAGCAGTTTTCAAATAACTAAGTTATCCTTGGAAATACTTCTACATGCCACTGGCAGATGTGGTGTATCAATGCAGAAGTACAGTATTTTGAAGCCACACTGACAAACATTGCTTACATTCACTAATCCAGGTCTCTGAAAATAAAAGGAAAAATTATCTTTTATATTCTTATATATTAATACTGCATTTAACTAAAAAAAAAAACCACCAAACCCACAATATTTGCTTTTAACCGTTTTCTAAATGGCTTTAGAAATTATGCATATCACACAAGAAAAAAAAAAAATGAAATTAATTTTTCTTAAGTGAAAATAATGTCCAAGTGCAAAACTAGGTTTATTTCTATATATAGTTAATCCAGTTTTCTACGACGCTTTTTTTTAAAACACATTTTATTTAATTGGATAGGTACAGAAAAAAAATCAACCGAGAAAATAAACTTCTAAATTCAAGTCCATAGATGCTAACACTAACTATAATCACTTACTTTGTTTCAATAACTTCAAGGGATTAGTTATTTTGAGGGCTTTCGCTGAGGTCTTCGTATATCCTTTTCAATTTCTTTTCTGATTTGAAATTGTTTGTATCTTTCTGCCATTGCAATAAGCTCATTAGGAACTACCTGATAAGAAAGCAGCACAAGAACAAGGTCAGTTTGAAGTAAATCTAAACTTTTAGACTCTGCTTTACAAAAATGCTATTGAATTGTATGTTCCCAAACTTGATTTTATTATTTATCTGGCTCCTGTCACTTTGCAGATTGTCCTTCTGTACAGATGCAGAAAGAAATCTTTTTACATAAAATTATACTGAAATATACTGAAAAACAATCAGCACAGTGTCCCTGGATTTTCAATTACATATGTATGCTACTATCACTATATCTGATGACAACATATAACCAGCTAATGAGAACATTTGTGTTTCAGATAGAAATACATCTTTCAGTGATAATGAACAGTTGGAAAAAATGTCCAGGTGATACCATATTTTATATATATATATTTGAATGTTACACAAGAGCTCTGAAGAGAAACTTTGGTACTTAAAGAAAGCTTTGCCATAGGAAGGATTCTCATACAGATAAAACAAAGATAAAAGACAAGAAAAGAAGCACAGCAGAAAGTGGTCTGTTCTCCCAGCACTGGGAGGTCACAAGAGCATCTTACCAAGATCCACGGTGCTTTCTGGTATGTTTGTAATTATGTGAAAAAGGAGGTGAATAGTATCATCAGCACACTTTGTCACCTTCGAGTTACTCACAGTTGTACGGACTGAGGCCAGATGCAAAGAATTACAGAGACTTTATTAGGTTGAGTGACACTGATCCCTGAACGAAAGAAAAACAACCCAAAACCCACCCGTATACCATTCTTATAGATCATGGAACAAAGGCAGTGTCCAACAAGTCTCCTTCAGCCAGATCAGGCATCATGCAGACGTTAATGCAAATGTTTACTGCAAAAAGCAGTACGAGTGACTACTGTCAGAAAAGGTTTTAGATCAGCAATCCATCAAAACCAGTCTGCTTCAAAAATCTGCTACAGCACGTAGCCACGCAGCAGGTAGAAGATATCCAGTCCAGAATCAGCTTCCCCATCAGAGACCGAAGAGCAAGCTTCTGCAGTGCGTGTGAGCATGGTATTAACGCGATTGCTCAGCCTCTGTGGTCTGTCCCTCCGCAAGTGGCACAAATACAGTGCAAACAGTAGAGCACAAACAGATTTAAATACTGTTAAGTCTCCTTAGAAATGCCTAGACCCGGCAATGCTTGAACAGGTGAAGAGTGCAGCCACTGGTGAGGCAGGAAGGTATATTCCTCCAGTTCCAGCTTCTTTTGTCAGGCTTTGTAATTCAGCAATGCTTGCCATTTGCTATCAGCAACTTCTCTTAAGCCAGCATGAGCATCAGCTCACTAGTACATATTTTATGTGCTGAATTGCTCTTACTGGTAAACAGCTGCCCTGGCTGTCAGGAGTCCACAGAACAGGATGCCTACAGAACAGTCTATTCTGCCTAAGTTTTAGACGCTGTTTAAAAATAAAGTGAAAAATTACGCATTTCTTTAGCTGAAAGTCACTACAGACTTGTATAATAGAGACAGTTAGACAAAGTTAGTTTTCAGTTGAAACACTGGATGATTTTCTTCCTCAGTATCAGACCAGTTCCCCTCCTACAGTACGAAACAGAATTTATTCCAACTAAAATCGCAGCAGTTTCTTGCAAGAGTGGCTTCTGAGCAGGCATAAGGAAAGAGTGGGAAGAAGCCAGGATACAGAACAAAGATCTCAGTGAGGTAACATCCAGCATCTACTGGTTTGTTGAGATTTTTATACAAACAATCCGTGTATCTGCTAAACATATAAGCCACGTATGGTAGTCCAAATGAGAAAACACAAAAGGATAAAGATGCCATAATTTATATGTAACACTCTTCTTGGTATTAGAGGGATCAGTGTTTTTCCACCTGATTCCCCAATAAATCTGTCCATGCTTCTTAGTAAGCTTTATATAAAAGATCCCTGCAGCATGACACTGAAAACTTTCTGTTGTACCTGTTTTTCTTTAGGGAGATTACCTGTACATTCAAAATCATGGAAAACATCTGGCTAACAAAAGCACCTTACTTGTTTTGAAATTGAAGTATTCTGAACATTCACACCATGTTTTCAGTTGCTCTCCTTCCCTTTTATATGATGCTTTAAGACTGAAGTAATGGTATTTTCATTATCATGAGGAAAAAAAAATCTGCCTGTATGGATCCTTCTATCAGCTATAACTAAAAGTTTGAGAATAATCTTGTGACTAACAGTTACCCTTGAAAGTAAGGATTCAGAGATGCTCTTTTCTCCTCTGAACTCAGAGACCCATTCCCAGAACCATCACACGTTACAAAAGTTTGGGAACTTCACAGTCTGCAGCAGGAGACAAGGCGTGGATGGTAATGGCTGACTCAGAATACAGAACAAGGCACCTGAAAATTCTATTTAAGTGGCTTCAAAGTTATCATTACTGGTTTAATCTCTTACATTTTCTAAAAACAAACAAAAAAAAACCCCACCAAAAAACAAAAAACCCCCAAACACAAAAAAACAATGCACCCAACCCAACACCCCCCACCCCCCGCAACAACCACTCCCCCCCAAAAGCTTGTAACTTTAAGAAACTATTAGGGGACAAACTCTTGGGGGTTTTTTGGGTTTGGTTTTTGTTTTGTTTTTTTTTTTACTCCTCCCTCAAAATCATCTTAGCAGGTTTGCAAGAAGTGGCATAACATCTTTCAAAGAAGAGTTGTAAAACAGAAGATTTAGGTGCAGTTCTAACTCAGGGTTTAAAGTTTCAGTAAGTGTCTGCCGTAACAACCACAGATCCTAGGGAAAAGCACTTAGTTTGTACTCAAACTCCCATCCCCCTACACAAACAAACAAACCAAAAAAATTAAAAAATTTCAATTCAAGTCAGGACATGAACTAGGGGTTTACTATAAATCAGGCAAAATGCTATTTCTTATTACAACAAAACCAGCAACATAATTGTCTCTGGCTTCTCAGATATGGTAGCACGAAGAAAAAAATGTTTCTTTAAAATAAAGAAATAAATCACATTCTAGTCTTATTTCCCATACAGTTTACAAACATCTGTAAAAACGATAGCTTGGAAAAGTACATGCAGATATCACAACTCTCAGATATAATGAACTGATAGATAGTTGAGCCTCTTCTGGTATAAATATTGTTAATATTTACACTGTTAAACAAGAACATTAGTACACAAGTTCAGAAGTGAAATACAAATGGAATAAAATACCATGAAATAAAATAGACCCTATTATTCCTCTGCAGACCTCTATGTGTGCATATGTTAGCTACTTTTTCTTTGGAAGTGGAAGGCTTTGATTAAAGTTCTTGGTTCTTTTCTGGGACTCATCTGTAAGGTAAAATACAGCTAAGGATATCCAAGACAACAGAGACTCAAGCACCCATTTTCTTCCCCGAGACACTACAAACACTCACCAAGAAAGGTCTAAGTAGGCTTAGACCTTCATGAACTGTTTCAAGTGGTAACCCAGAACCAATATAAATCTTACCCAGTAAGATGTATTCTTACTTGGTTTGCTCTTTCCAGAATTTCAATCAGCTCAGAAGCAACCCTCCAATCATTCTTAGTGACAAGCGTTACTGCCTCCCCAGTACGTCTAAACAAGGAATGAAATAACTGTTGATCTTCAAAATAACTGCCGCTAGGCTTTTCCTACTGATCTATACAGTAATAAATTGTACTACAGGCAGTATTATTGAACTGACAGATAAAACTGGCTTGAGTATTGACATGATGCACATAACAAAAAGCAACTTTTCATAAAGATCAGAACATGGCAATTCACCTAAAATGGAGCAAAGGCACAACTAATTTAGACTTTTAGACAATAAACAGCATAAAGACAACATATTTAAGTATGAAGAGACATATATTCATATAATGATTAAAATAAACACATACACAAAGAAAAAGCACACTTGTGCCAACCTGGGAAAGCAGCATTCAGAAGTCCTAACACCAAATCACACCACCATCATAGGCTGAAAAGTTTGAATTTATATATGTTTTTTTTTTCCCAGTGGGCTGTCTAGGAAATTAAACACTCAGCAGCTCACAAAGAGACAAACAAGGAAGTGATGTTTCAGAATATCTACACAGAAGTTGTTTTGAACTGTAATTCTTCCCCACACTTAAACCAGCTTTCAAACATCCCTCATTCCCATCCACTTCAATGAAATAACAGAAAAATGGAAAACTTGTTTGCCTTAAATTTAACAGTGAACTAATTTCAAAACATAAAGCAGTGTGTATTATCCCAAACATATTTTGATAGACTCTGGAGTCTTCACTCCTGCACTCCGTATCACCTGTAGCTCTAGCATTTCACAAAAGAAACACCTATGCAGTGCATAAAATAGAGACATTACTATTTTCTTGTAAACACTTACCCTGCTCTTCCAGTACGACCTATTCTATGAACATATTCTTCAATGTTGCGAGGGAAGTCAAAGTTAAAAACATGAGTAATATCATGCACATCAAGGCCACGGGATGCTAAGTCAGTAGCTACCAGTATTCTGACTTTGCCTAAAATAAGTACAACAGAGAGAGAATGGGAGTTTATGGAATACACAGAACATATACTCCCGTCTGTTGGTTTTCTAGTGTATAATGCACTTATTCTTAACACAAAAAGGAAAAATATGCTTGTTGCATGTCACACTGAGTTAGCTTCAAATACAAGGTGGTAAGCAAGCACTCAAAATGTCATTTTACTATTATTTGTATTTCACAAGTAGAACAGCAGGGTGCAGGAGAAGCAAGAAACATGCCTAGCTGATACAAAGAGCCTGTGAAAAGAACAAAACTTCAAAAACTATATTCTCAGCTGGCATCTTTATCATACAACTACTCTTTATTAGCATGTGATCACATAACCCCAAAGTATAACCCTATTGGCATACTCAAGAGCAGAACTGTGTCACTGAAAGCACCATCATTTGACACTTAAATTTACTGTTCCATAGACTAACACAATATTGACTTTTCCACAGAGATTTCAAAAATAAAATAAGCCTTACTTTAAATTATTTAACTCTTAGACATTCCAAATTTTATTGAAGAGCAATCTCTTTTTATTTGCTGGTTTTTTTCACTTGTCAAATTAACAAAGTAAACATATCGTTCAGAGGTCTTTAATATTTTCATTCCTATGGTACTGGAAAGACATGGCACTTACAAATAGACAAAATTCTGCACATGACAAGCTTTAAAAACCTGGACTAAACAAACCAGTACTTGGGTACAAGCATACCTTTCTTGAAGTCATCTAAAGCCTGTTCTCGATCACACTGTTCCCTGTTACCATGAAGTGACTGTACTGGAATTCCTTGGAGACCAAAGTCACTTGCTAAGTCATCAGCTCTAGGATGAAATAAAACAATGGTTCTTAAAAAGAAAAAAGAAAAAAAAAAAAGGTGCAGCATCTATATTTAGATCCAAAAGATAATAATGTTACAACAAAAGCTAAACACGTGCCTAAGGGGAAAACCCTACCTAGGTCAGCTGGTATTTATTATAAAACAGTATGAAAGCGAGATTATTCCCCACATAAATGTTTGCTTTTATTTATAAGCAAGAGAAATAATAGATGATTTTTGTGTTGTTCACTCACAAAGCTCAGGTATGGTACAATGACCACTGCCCCCCGCAATCAGGTCTTGTGTGCACCAGCTGCATATGCAACTAAACAATACATCACATTAACGTATCCCCAAGAATCTTAACATCTACTTTAACTATGCAAAATTGAGATTTATCACCACCACTAATGATATTAAAAAGGATACAAACTACCAGTCAATCTGGAGGAATGAATAAATAAAGATACTACTTGTCAGCACATGGCTGACAAGAGCTGTTACACTTGGTAATAATTATGTGAACTAAGAAACTATGCAGTATTTCCGTTAGAAAAAAAATGAACAGACGTAATACTGGGAAGTGATTACATACGTAAGTTTTTTTCCCACAAAAATGATGACCTTATCTTTTGGCTTCATAGAGTCAACGAAGTATTGCATGAAAGCTCTCTTTTCCTCCTCGGCGATAACAATAACTCTCTGTTCTACCGTATTTACTGCCTGTTAAACAGCAAAAAGGGATGTTAAGTAGAAACAGATTAGAATAATATTTTTTCTGTTAATTCCCATATTATGGTATTATAAAACTAGTAATATGATACCACAAAAAACTGTTTTAAAACCAAAATGTACATCAGTTTGGAGCTCAAACAATACAGACTTATTTGCTGCTTCCTAGTTGCTTTAGGAGAATAATGAAATTTATCTTTAAGCAGTTTGCCAAGTCATCTATTTGCAGGGATTTAGAGGGCACACATTAGCAGACCAGTGAGGTGAAATAAATATTCCTAATATTAGTGAAAATCAGACTGAAGTACTTTGATTTGCGTATATTTTATGTTAATCCAGAGCAAGTTGCCACAATGCCAGTCTTTCTTAAAAGGATAAGCTTTTAACGAAGATTTTGTAATCAATCTGAAACGATCAGTTCTGCCCAATTCTTCCAACAGCAGTTTGTTAATAAAAACTTTACTCCATTATATTTGAAGGTTGCCATAGAACGTCTAAGGTACACTACATAAGTAGTATAAAGGTCTAGACATTCTCATGGTACGGCATCATAATCCTGTGGCAAGGGCTGAAGAATCAATCAAATACATAGAAAGATTCTCTCTCCTCATGGGTACCCTTCCCCCTCCCTCCACAGAGGTCACCTCTTCAATTAGGAGAAGCTCCTATAGAAGAGACGAGCACATTAAGCAAGCGAGATACAATAGCACTTGATAGCTTTCAAATTCCGATCCTCTCGTCTTTGACAAAAGCATAGTTCTGAACAGAACAGACAAAAAGTACATTCCCCACCCTATTTCTACCTAAGTGTCTTGGATACTAAGTTTCCTCATTCCCTGTCACTACAAAAATGGAAACGAAAAGGGAAATTTCATAATTTAAGAACCAAATTCAAAGCAATCTTTGGACCAGGATGCAGAGATGTTGGAAGAACTACTACTTCTGTAAATTCTGCTGGTACTGAAGCAAACTACACATAGCTGCGCAAGCATGACAAGCATGCAACTACATCTACATGTTAGAAGTTTTGGACTTAAAGACAGTTCTTACTCTAACACATATGTTCTTGCTCTAGACAAGTGCCCTCCAGTTTAGTAGAGAGCTTCTACTCTCTTTGAGAAAGCAGCAGTTAAGAAACAGATCCAGATAAGGAGCTGTATGCATTAGAAAGATGACCTTCAGAAGGAAAAGCAAGTAAGGAACACGAACTTGCTGAACAGAACTGAAGGCTGCAAAAACAAGGGTTCAGGCAAGAACACATGGCACTGCAAAGCACAACATTCAAAGTTCAATTTGATTGATACTTGTTGCTTGTGACATCTTCTACTGAAGATCTAGGACTTCAAGATCGTTACAGAAACATAACAACATAGGGGTTTTTTTTAATTTCTTTCTAAACTTTTAATGAAGCTTTAAAAGAATAATATGGAGCTGGTTTTTGGAAGTTTGGATTGATTTTAAAGTTACATGCATTTACTTACCTATAATTACAAGCAAAATATTTCCTGGTTTCTCCCAAAGGAGAGAAAAAAAAGAAAAAAGAAAAAAAAAGAACAGAACAACTTACTGCTAAGTCAAGAGTGCCAACATATACAATCATAGGATTTTTCAAATAGGATTTCGCTAGGCGACGAACACCATCAGGCCAAGTAGCACTAAACAGGAAGTGAAGAACACCACACACATGAGAACAGAGTGCAAAGTCTTCTCCAATTCATTACTTTCATCACATTCTTCTTTCTTTTCCTTTTTATATACCAGTGAAACACTTGAGTATGCAATAACAGTAATAAGCTTATATAACATTTAGAAATAATCTTAAGACATTATTAGTTAACGGCACTCAAGCTTTAAAGATAACTTTCTAGGTTAAAAGTACAGGCAACAATTATGGAGCCTTTCTAATGTAGCCCAAAGTGAGCTTAGTAGTTCAACGATACCCAAAAAGCAACCTTCTAGTCTGTTTTTATCTCTAGAAAAACAGCTCCAACGCAAAATACGGTAACAAAAATTATTTTTGGGATATTCCAATGTTAAGCTCCCAAAAGCTGCATAATTTAAAAAATTAATCCAAGTACAAACTAGCACAGATACTAATCAGAAGGTTAGGATATACGTTGGGCCCCAGATGGGGAAGCGGAAGTTGGCGTTTCAAATTTATATGGCAAATTCTAGCACTCCCAGGACACCTTCCTTTTTGGGAAGAACTCAGTTGTTTGCATAGCTGATGCAAAACATCAGAAGAGGGGTAAGAAATGAAAATAGAGTTGTCAAATGACTCATTAAGACTGACCAGACAGAATTAGAAAGAAAACTGATGCCACTCCCATTTAGGCTAGTAAAAGTTTTAATAAAAGTGACATTTTTGTTTTGACGTTAACTTGTTCAATAACCTTACGTTTGCAGTGTTCAAGTACTGAGCACTATTACGTTTACATACCTTGTCATAACAGTTTGTCTGTCGGGCCGCACATCTATTAGGATCTTCATTATCTGAGGTTCAAATCCCATATCCAACATTCTGTCAGCCTCATCTAAAACCTGCTCGGAACAAGGTTATTTCCTATGTCTACTTCCTTAGATAAGGGTTTCAGCAAGACATTACATAGCAGACCATTTTAATGGTAGGAATTTTAACTGCAGAATCCACTCTGTAATGTATTGCAAAACCTGTTCAACTTCTTTTCACCTCTTCAATTTCCTTGAAGCTTTTTCATTTAGAAATACATTTGCAGGCAGAACAAGAAAATCCAGAGCCCCTTTAAGAGCATTTAAGTCAACCTGTTTGTTTGTTTTAACAATATTTTGGTTGGTACCTAAAATTAAGTACAGAATTTAAAAAAACAAAAACCACAATAAACAAAAACCCAACAAAAATAAAACCAACCAAACTTGGGGGACACCCACACAACACACTTGCAGTAAGAAGTGTTCAGTAATTTAAAGGGGAAACCTCATTTCTACCTTGTTAGAGATCTCATACCAGACCAAAATACCAGTTATCAATTTAGTTCCTCATTAGAGGTAAGAAAAAAGGCAGGGTGTACATTCTGGCTCACACTATGACACTGCAGAACTCCCAGAGCTCAAACTTGCTCCATCGGGTAAAAAAAAACACAAGAGAACAAGTGAGCTGAAGGTCTGAGTACAACTATTTCAAACTGATTTTTTTCTAATATACACACACACTTGAGACTCTGAAAACATTCACATACAAAGGCAGCTGCCATCCAAGACTGATTTTTCTCCTTTACTTTTCAAATAGAGTTTGTATAAATCAGTTATATGGATCATGCTTTTAAGTATTGACGTTTTCTAGTCACTTATGTAGAAACATAGGACTTTGATGATAATCCCTCTCTACTGTCCCAATTTTGCTATTCCATTCTTTTCAGATGTTTTATTCTATTAAGGGTTTTTAGTACATTACCAATGTAAATCTCTGAAATAATAACAAATCATCATCTGAGAGACAGAAGACAGGAATTCTATTTCTTGATTGAATTCTCTTTATTTTCAAAGGACTCATGGTGATTTCATTAACTACTTGGATGCTAATACAATGGTGAGGCTGAAACATCACTAATTTTATATACAGAATTGGCTACTATGCCCCTTTCAGCAGCAGAAGCTTTCTAAGCTATTAAGCACACTGGTACTTCGCTGGAAAGGGAGAAGAAAACGTGTGTATTAGATGGATCGGAGTAGTTAAAGTTCACTTTCCTTACTTCTGATAGCTGCTTAATGAATGAAGGCTGTAACAGATATAAGAGAGATACTAGCACTGTTTTTTCCAAACGCCTCATAGCCAGGTCCTGGTTTATAAGCTAAATCTCCCCCCAGCTGACATAATCTTAGATTTCTTGTTATCTATACATATTTACTTGTTTGTTGATAAATTATTCATTTCAGTTCTATTTCTTGGCAAGAAATTCTTACAAGCTAGTTCTTAATGTGAAAAGTATTTTCTTTCCTCTGTTTTAAATTACTTATTGGTAAGTTTTACACTATCTTTTTTTGTATTTGAGTAATAAAAGGACTACTCCAATCTACCTTCTATATCCTACTTCATGATTTATATATTTTTAAGTATACTCTTTCCCCTAAATGCTTCCCAATTACTCATGCACAACTCCAATTTCCTTACTTCTGCTTTATGAGCATGAGGTCAAAAGAAAAAAGCACTTGGATTACCAATGAATGAATACCAATTTACACTGAACACAGCAAAACAGAAAGCAATCTTCAAATGACATATATTGTAAACAATCAAAAAGCCACATATGACAGAATTTCCCAGTCTGTCTTCTGAAATAATGAAAAAACAGCAGCCTATCTTGAATAAACAGGTTCCTAAAAATCTGAATCAAGACTGAAACTAACTTGATGGTTCTGTCAGGCAAGAAGACAAATTCCCTGCCTCCAATTCACCTTCTGTACAGTGTAAATTCAAATATAACTAACTCTGTTAGAATTTGGTTTGTTGTTTGTTTGGGTTTTTTTAAACAAACAATTGTATCCCAGACTCTGACCTTGGAAGTACTTTGGGAAACAATTATATCAAACCAGTAAATAACACTGAGTGCACTTCGGGTGCATTCACAAGACTCATCAGTGTCTTCAAATGAAAAATGTAAATGAAGCTCTTCCATGAAGAGTGTTCTTCATCCAAGGCATTAAAGTTGAAATCTAATACCCCTCTATTTTCTCTGAAATAAGGCTGCAAGATTAAATTATTCGTTGGCTGAAAATTGACAGTGAAGCTGTGGAAACAGAAAGCATCTTATATATTAAAAAGTACAAGAAGCTACATGGAAAAATATATGGTAACATTAAAAAAAAAAATAGACTTTTGGATGTCCAGCTTTTTATACGGGACCTGAAGAAAGTACAGCATTTCCAGAAAGTCTGAGGCATGAGACATCAACCACTTTGGAAAACACAGTCCTTGCACTGATTTCAATCTTCTGAAAATATTTAACTGCTAGCGGTACAATAACAAATGGTTTTCTCCTGCTTTACATCATCATATTTTTCAATTTCAAAGCTAGTTCTTTTTAGTAATGTCATATTATAGTATATTCTGCACATACTAAACCATCTTTTCCCAGTCTTTTGGTTACATACATATTATTTGCTTTACAAAGCTGTGTGTGCTTTTAGTATGACCATACTTGGTACAGAAAGATTACTAATGTTCCTATAGTTTTCAGAAAGCAGGTTTTCAGGCCTTTTTTCCTCCTGCTTAGCAATTACATGTTACTCTTCCACATGAGGCTGCTCTCCTGTCTTCCAATAATATTCTTTTTTTCCAGATGGCCAAATTTCTAATTCCACCACTGGCCTTGCCAGTAAGCTCACAACTATTAGCTAGAATTGGAGCTAACTTATTACTGCATAATGAGTGTTTAACCCTTAGATGGGAGTGGAGGTGGAGATAAGGGAGAGAAAGCAGACCAAATCGTCAGGCTAGGCAACAAGTCACCAGTTAAACAGACAACTCAGAAATAATTTAAATATATGAAAGTATTTTACAAAATAGCAATGGTTTTAAGTGTCCAGCACAGCAAAAGGCAAGAATGAAATTAAGACGTAAGGATTCATAACAATGTTTACATGGCTATTTTCCCACCGAGATCAAAAAGAAAGTCAGTCACCCAAACATTTAAATATCTAACTGTTTGCAACGCTGGTGCTTACTGCACAAGTTCTAATAAGAACTTGAGTCATTGGTAACCTTTAAAAGAAGAGGAAAAGACAACTTGGGAAAGGCATTTCATCCACTAATAACTCATCTTGACAAAATGAATTTTAAGCCAGCAAATGTTACTAACACGAGATAACAATTTAGCATCTTTAAAATCCTTACTGTGCTAGAAGCCTATTTTATTTTTTTCTAGGGAATATTCCACATCTGCAATGCAATTATGGTAAGTATGTACCATCCCTCCAACACCAATCTCAATGTTAAGATGTATTGTAATTAAAGACTTAAAAAGTTTAAAGAAAACTTCATTAAAGCTTAAGTTCACACCAAGCCAACCATTTCCCAACTGGTGCATTACTCATTCCGTATCAGCTACTTGCCAAGTATGTTATGCTCTTCAACTTTATGAAGTTGTTCATTTGAAGATCATTCAGTCTGCCAGGAGTAGCAATAACAATATCCACACCTTTGGTAACCACGTCTATCTGTCCTTTTCGGTCCCCACCACCATATATGCAAATACTGAAAAATAAAATGTTTTACAGAAGCCGTGTATTAAGGTTCAACTAAAGTCAACCTTTTTAAAAAGTATCATCCGGTATTAGCAAGAGGAAGGAATACAGTAAGTGTGATCGACAGTATCACAGTAAATAATGGACTTAACACTGAATGATACTCCCTCAACAGTTCAGCAATAGCTTTCTGCTCAAACTGCAGTGAAAGTAATCATGAAAGGAAGATAGCTATTAAGCTTCAAGTACGTTTCGGGTTGTTCCGAAAATATTCACACCAAAGATTTTCTAAACAGTACCACCAAAAGTCTAATATTTTTCTGTTAAAACAATTAAACACACTCAATATAAACTTAACATGCTCTGTAAAACTTAGTATTTTTTTGGAAGGAAGCAGAATGTACATTTCAGTATATACAAAGTTACCAGAGAGCCCTAAAAATAAGGTTTGGAGTACAGTAATGTCTGTTTAATAGCTTAAATGAAGACCCACACTCTCAGCAGGTTTGTAGATTAAACCAAATTGCGGGAGCAGTCGATATACTAGAGGGCAAGGCTGCTACTCAGAAGAACCACAAGAGGCTAGAGAAATGTGCTGACAGGAATCCCATGAAGTTTAACAAAAGCAAAGATGGGGATGGAATTACTCCATGGCAGAGTGCCAACATGCTAGAAGATGGCTTTGCAGAAAGGACTTAGGTAGGCAAGAAACTGAACATCATTCAGCAGTGTAACCCCACAGAAAAGAAAGCCAGCTGTGCACTACGGAGAAGGTAGCCAGCAGGTTGAGACAACTCATTATTCCCCTTTATTCAGTACTCGTGAGACCACACCTCAAACACAATATCCAGTTTTTGTACCCCCTGCCTCTATTACAAGACAGACATATAAATACTGGAGTAAGCCCAGCAGGCAGCTTCCAAGACAGTCAAGAGGATGGAGTGCATGACGTGAGAAGTTGGTAACCAGGCTTGTTCAGCCTGAAGAGGAGAAGGTTCAGGGAGACCATATTGCTGTCTACAGCTATGTAACAGCAGGGTGCCGAGAAGACACAGCCAGACTCTTCTCAGGTGTCCAGAGAGGACAAGAAGCAACAGACAAAGCTACAATATAGTTGGAGTTCTCTGTATAAGAAGCAGATTTTCACCATCAGAGTAGTCAAAACAGGCATTCTAAAAACTGGGAAAATAGAAACTCTGTATTTACTACCTTCTCCTCCCCTCTTACCAAATGCTATTATTGTAGTAGGTGAATTAAGCCACAAATGGTAGGAAAAAAAATTACTTAATAAGCAGATGAGAAGTAAGGTTACCTTTTAATTCCTTTGTATGCATACTTCAAACACTCTGCCTCCACTTGAAGTGCCAGTTCTCGAGTGGGAGCAAGGACTAACATTCCTGGCCCCCCACGCTGATCTTTGGATCTGCAATAAACCATCTTTAGAATGTGGGTATATAAGGCTAGGTGAAGTCCAACACATCTGACATCAAACATTTTTATACCGTTCTAGACTTTCGCCGGACACTGCTACTAATGGCATCTATAGTGACAACTTTGGTACTTATTTCACCAGGTTTATAATTTTTTTTTCAATTTATGATTTATTACCTTCTTCACTAGAAAACCATCACATGAGGGGTGGGGGGAAGTATCCACAGCTAAATAAGTCAGACACGTAAGCAGTCCTTACATTGGTTGTGAAGTCAAGTGAATGAATCCAGGCATTAAGTATGCTAATGTCTTCCCAGTACCAGTCTGTGCTATACCAATAAGATCAATTCCTTGGAGTATGATCGGCCATGCCTGGGACTAACATAAAAATACAAATACTTAAATGTACTTTCCGCTTAAGCTTCAGTTAAAGAGTCATCAAAATTGAAGAAGTACCTGAATTGGTGTAGGTTTTTGAAAACCAACTTGTCTTATATTAGCCATAATATCAGGATAATGCTCAAATACATCTTCAAAATTACAAACAGGATTGGGAATGCAGCGCTTTTCACCTTCCTTTAAGTCATCACAAATGATATTATTATTTTCTTTCCTGTATAGAATTAAAAGAAGTGCAATTGCTTTAAAGTCTCATCATCTGAAAAAGTAGAGCTAACACAAAAGACTGCCTTTCTGACTTTTTTTTAATTCCTGGAACAACAAAACCCAAGTTCAGGCTCTTGAATGAGACTTACAACTATTCTTCTAACTTTTAAGAAAGCCTTACTCCAGAAACACTCCTCCTGGAGGCATCAATTACCATTCTTTCTTAAGAGTGACTAATTTGAAGTTATATATGAATATTAACATGAACTGCAGTCCCGTCATACCACACTTTAATTATATGCTATTTCAAATTAAATAACTGTGACAAGTTTTTAAACCTAAAGACAATCTAGAACTCATAGGAATCAATTTGACTTCTTTGTCAGAACCCTATATTCTGACAAAAGCCTTCCCAAAGTATTTTCAGAGCAGGTCCCTGGATGCTCTAGAAAATACAAACAGAACAGTTTAGAAAAAAGAACGTGGTTAGTAAGACAAGCTCCCAAAAAACCCTGCACCCCAAACCCAAACAAACAAAACCCAAAACACAACACCACACACAAAAAGCTATATAAAAACAGAAGTTCTGAGGCTCCCCCAATTAAGAGGTATTAATATGCATAAGTAGTTTATCTTCATTCCAGTCTTGTACTCTTCTGAAGATTCCATTCAGCAAATAGTTTTACTTCAAGTGGGGTGTGGGCTAGGAAAAGTATGCATAATTCCACCTTTCCTCATGGCTACAAAAACATTTTTTTTTCAATTACTGTCTTTTTTTTTCCTTAAAGGAAACAAATTCCTTTATCACACAAGTGCTATTCTTCAATGCATGTTCTGAACCTACAGAACAACGGTTCTGTTGCTCTTCACTAGCTCTAACAATAACATGTACTGTCCTGGTTTCAGCTGGGATAGAGTTAATTTTCTTCCTAGTAGCAGGCATAGTGCTGTGTTTTGGATTTAGTAGGAGAAGAATGTTGGTAACACACTGATGTTTTAGTTGTTGCTAAGTACTGCTTATGCTAGTCAAGGACTTTTCAGCTTCCCATGCTCTGCCAGGCACACAAGAAACTGGGAGGGGGCACAGCCAGAGTAGTTGATCCAAACTGACCAAAGGGCTATTCCATACCATATGACGTCATGCTCAGTATATAAGCTTGGGGGGGTTGCTCAGAATGCAGCAATTGCTGCTTGGGAACTGTCTGGGTATCGGTCGGTGGGTGGTGAGCAATTGCATTGTGCATCACTTGCTTTGTATAT